TAATATATATATGTGTGTGTGTGTGTGTGTGTGTGTGTGTGTGTGTGTGTGTGTGTGTGTTTTTAATATGATTCTGAAATTTTCAAAATGTATTATCAGACAAGAAATTTGCAAAAGTGTGTAATTTATATAATGTATGTTTATAATATATATGTGTTAGAAGTAAAATAAGAATAAATTCAAAACAAAGAAAATAGCTTGTAAAAATAGAAATAATATCTTGACTGCTGTTATAAAAAAATATTATTAATAGCTAAATCAATTATTAATTAAAATGTACAATACATGAAAATTATTTTAAATTAGGAAATTATGTCGACAAAAGACTTGTTTTAAGATATTTGATTTGAAAGAAATGAGTAGAACAAAATATAATTGCAACAAAATATAATTGCATATTTATGGAAAATGATAAACATTAATGCTATAATATAACAATGTTAACTTATGCTGTTATTTTTAGAAATTTAATGTACTTGATTATTTTTCGTTATGTCTTTTTCTTCTGTTTACAGGTGACGCCGGCACTCTTATTATCTTTGAATGATAAGTATGATGCAGCGGAACCAAGACAATTGGCCGATATCGCTGAAGAAGTAGACATTATCATACCGAATGAAAGTCGACATCCGCGTTACTCGCATGCTCCTGAGATGAACTTTGGTGTATGGAGGAAAAATTCTTGGGTCACCAAGTCGCTACGTCAGAAACGCTCGACAGCTCGACAACGATACGTGCGTACTGCAATGGTCATCACGCCACGAGACTTCACAGATGCTCTAATAAATTGGCGCAAATCGGCGGAGAAGCCTAACAATTTTACTAAAATTCTTAATCAAATTGATAAGTTACAGTATCAGAATTCATCACAAAATGTATCGCGGGAAGTAAGGGAGCTCATAGTAGATGACAATCGATTCCTTACAGACTCCGAGGATCCAAACAAAAGTTGGCAATCACAGGAATATATTACAAGGGAAATGGAAGATGTATTTTTGCAGGGTGCTAGTCAAGCATTGACAAGATACGTCGAACGCCAATTGCATCCCGCAATCAAAGAGACATTAATGTTATCTATGGGCTATACTATCAGTTATGGATAAACTCGTGAGAATATTGAATACAGAGAGATTGTAATTACATAGTTGAATATTAGATACATTACACACATATAATATTAAAACATAAAAATATCAGCTGGACTTCCTTCACTTTTAAAAATTGTTAATTCTGTCTTTTTAATATATTTCTAAGAATTTCTCAAATTCTGCAATATTTCATATCGTCGATTAAAATTTTCATTTACATTGAGTATTTCATAATTGCGTAATAATCATATCTCATTACTTAAATGCTTTTTGTATATGTAAGTTAGTTAAATCTTTTAAGAGTAAGTTAGTATAAATCATTTTTAATTAGTTACACGTAGAACTTGGAAATGTAAAAGTGCTTTTAATTCAATTCAATATGTAATTATGTGTATTTTAATGATAATAAATGCAATAATATTATATTATGAAACTTTATTTATTATAACATTGAGAAGTATTTTA